ATCTAACGTAACCATTTCAAGTGCAATGTATTTATCTCAGACACGGGGATGACTAAATATTTACTACTTACTAGAAGAAATTGTCTTGGTCAAAGGCACAAAGTTATTTTACTCATAATAGCCTTCCATATAGAAGTTGCAACAACTGAAAATTTTATGGTATTATACGAATATAAATTCACGTAACCATTAAAAAAGTGAAAGAGTATATTAATTGTATGCCATATCCATCAGTTTGTCCAAATGGCTGTCCCTGCTTTTCCCGCCCGTATGAACATAAAGTTAAGGACTTGGAATTTTGAATATATATTCATATAAGAATCAGAAAATATTATATCTTGTATGTCAAATTATGAAACTGAAAATCTTCAAAAGTCTTGCAGAAAAAAGTTAATGTTGCTTTACTAATAATAATACTAATAATAATAATCAATTCTAAATATTTATATTTTGGTAAATCAATAGAGAAGATTTAACAAAATATAAATATTTAGAATTGATTATTTACACTAAAGCCGAACAGATAATTTTATATTTTTTCTAGACGACGTATTCCAAATTTTTTTTTAAATATCTGTAAACATAATTCTTTTCTCTAGATCTCTAGAAATAGTTACCAAATCTTAAATTGCATATGTCCTAATGCTACTTAATTATTATCTATTATCTTCCAGGCGGCTCCTTACTAAACTATCTGCGCAAGAACTCAAATACGCTCACCACACGGCAACAGATGGGCATGTGCCGAGACGCTGCAGCAGGTGAGTGGTAGACCAACCCAGCTGCATATAGTTCTTTGTTAATTAGAACAATTTATTCTGAAAATAACATTCATTTTAGGCATGCGATATCTGGAATCTAAGAACTGTATACATCGTGATCTCGCAGCTCGAAATTGTCTTGTGGACTTTGAGCATAGCGTTAAAATATCAGATTTTGGCATGTCACGCGAAGAAGAAGAATATATAGGTATATGGGCGTACAACTGAAAATATATAAGATCATTTAACCAACATGATTTTCTGCTCAAACAGTTTCCGATGGCATGAAGCAAATACCAGTCAAATGGACAGCGCCCGAAGCTCTTAATTTTGGCAAATACACAACTCTCTGCGATGTTTGGTCGTACGGCATTCTCATGTGGGAGATATTCTCCAAGGGCGATACTCCATATTCTGGAATGAGCAATTCGCGTGCTAGAGAACGTATCGATACAGGTACGTTTTGCTTAATAGAAAATTAATTTAAACTTCTTACTTAGACGGTGCTCGGTAGTTAAGTTGTTGA